TCAGAAGGGGTTAGATGGGACACTTAGTATCAAGCCAGGAAGAACTTCTGACAGGTTTACTGGTAGTCATATGTTAAGAGATTTACTATAATTTTCTAGTTTAGCTTATTAAAAAACTCCAAACAGTTTCCCTGAATGTCTTATTTATCTTATGGAAGGAAAGAGAAAAGCAAGGAACTGAATTTGGTTTTGGGTTTTGTGGTTGATTTTGTTCTGTTTGGTTATTTGCGCAGCAACATCTTTCTCCCCTTCCTTTAGAAGGTGTATGTGTGTGAGGAGTGGGAGGAGGAGGGTTTTATTTTAAAGATGGCTTAAATGCTTAATCCTTGGTGAGTTAAATTATGCAACCTTTTTCCCTTTCAAGTGTAAAGTGGCTTTAGGAGGTGCCTCTCTGATTAGAGAAATACTCTTCAAAGCAGAGGGGTTTGTGCATGAGTAAAAAGTGCAAAGCCACATACATTCAATGTACTCAAGTGAGAGAGGGGTGATGCTGAGATTTTAAAACATCCTCATGCTAGCTTCCCAGTAGGCCAAACATGGGATTGTAGGGGGATAGGGAGAAAGAAGGGAGAAGTTAAAGGGAGTTGTGCAGATGGATAAACTGGAAGGCATGGCTAGACACTGCAGTCTCCATTGTCTTGGGCAGTTCTGTTGTCCCTTTACCACCTGCTTGGCACACGTTACTGGGCTGACTGGGAGTTCTACCAGCTGCTGCACATGGGCAAGGTCAGATTCCCTGCGCTGGCACACGGGAGCCTTGTTTTTAATCACCGAAGCGACAGCACCAGCTCTGCTAACGATGGTCATTGAAACGTGAGCTTATAATCATGTCATTTAAAAGAGCTTGTACATCACCTGTCTGGGCTGTGCTTGCTCTGTCTTCTTGAGACTGCACAAATCCCGTCCTGTTGAGGAATAGGAGTTGTGTCATTTCTGATGTCAAAATCACAGTGAAATAACTGTTACAATTTCTTTTCCTAGAAGATACTGAGTTCTCTCTATATGCAGGGTGGCTTTCAAATACAGAAAGAAGAGCTATAGTTTTGAGGAATTGACATCTGAAGACAGAGGTCTGGACAATACTGTTAATAGCTTCTGTGTGTGGTATTTTTTTGCACCAAATAAGTTTTAATTAATGTTTTACCCTTAATGCTGGCTGGCAAGCAATGCTCTGAAATGTGAAAGAGTATTGGGCTCACAATTGCCTGTGCACAGCCATTAGACCTTTCTCATCCGAGTCCATCCTCTGCACTTGAGCAAGACTGAGATCCTATTGACAAAATGTAAAAAGTGACATAATTAAGTATTGTCATGTGGGATGTAACTTTAATCAGGAACTTTATATGTACGTGATCTAACAGTTAAGTGTGTGCTGTCTTTTAGAGTAAGGAAAAATGCTGACAAAATGGCTAAAAGTAACTTGTCACTTCTCTCACTTTTTCCAAGCGAGTTTCTAGTTGCAGTAGCATAAGCTTTATTGTGTAACTTGAATGTAAGAATAAGTAGCTGAGTGACGTAATCAAACATCTTAGTATGCAGATACTGAGCACTGAAACAGTCTTAAGCCTTCAGGTCCTGTATGCGAAAATGTTTAACCGCCGTGTGTCCGTTCTTCTGATGTCCTCAGTTTCATGTTTGAGGTCTGTGTTTTTGTAACAGTCCCACGAAGTGAGTAACTTTTCTTCTTATTTACAAACTTCAACACGAAGTTTGAAGCTGATCTGCAGAACATGATCGTTTTGATAACGTTGATGTATTTTTCCTTACATGTATTATATAGAATTGTTGACAAGGTTCAAGAGCCTTTTTGGGTATGCGTGTGTGGGGTGAGAATATTACTTCAAGCGTATGTATGTATCAAACTACCCTTCCTGTTTAGTAGCACTAACAGGATTCTCAATGCCGATCAGATTCTCAATGGTCGGTCTCGCTAGGAAAAACTTGTTTCGAACACTTTACTATTTTATCTGGCTAGTGCTAATTCTGATTGCTTTTTTAGCTTGCAGTAAACATAGGAAAGCACTGCTCAGGCTTTTCTTCTAATCCTATGTAGGTTTTGGGAAGCAGAAGTGGATATAGAAATACGACTCCTAGAGCTGGGGTTTTACGAACCCCCAAATGTTGCAGAATATACTGTAATAATCTGAGAGCGAGCCAGGCAGATTCCTGCCTTGCACAGCTTTTTACAGCATGTGTTTCTAGAGCCTTCTAAAGGCAGCCTCAGTAAAATGAATAGCTGAGATTTGGATACATTTCTACTTGCTGGAGTTTTTGTTAAATCCTGGAAAATGCTACGCTCTAGATTTCTCTGTTGATGTGAATGATTGTGAGCTGTGTGGTCTTAACCTTCCTAATGTGTTTTGGAGTGAGTGAGAAAGGCATCGTGAGTTCGTGTACGTACTCTTGTTGCAAACAAATAATCTCATTTAACCTGTAGAGCAGATTGTATCTGATGCCTTTTTCATTAATACTGTTCTGAGTTAGTTCCCTGTAGCCACGAATGCAGAGAATAGTCAAGAACCAAAGCTACAGATTTAATTGGTCATAAACTGGTCTTTACTATAACTATTAAGAGTAATAGAAAAAGTAAGTCTAAGATGCTTGGAGTTGCCAATCTTGTATGTTTATTCTTCATTCCTCTGTCTCGGTTCCCTATCTGAGAAAAAACTTGCCTGTGTCAGGCACAAGTTTTTCCTGTGGCTGTTGTTTGTGTGCTGCTTATGAGGAAACCAATTCTTTCTTTGTGGTAGCACTTAGATACTGAACAAAAAAAGCCATGTAAACTGGAAACTCGGAATGAAAAGAAATTATTCAGCTGATACTTGATTCTCTAAGCTTGTCCCTCTGCTAAATGAGGCAGATGCCAGTAAAAAAGCTACACTTGCATGAGGATAGAATGAAAGTATTTTGTATTTCCAGAGGCTTGACTTTCAAACATTAACCTGTTCTAAATGCTTAAGAAAAAACCCTGTAGTAAATTATGTGCAGAGGAGGATGCAAATGTGTTTCCGTTCCCTGTCTAGGTCCCCTCTAAGTGACTTCTCCAAGGCAACACAGCAAATCACTTGGTCAGTCATGATTAAACTCCTGGTGTTCCTAACTTCATCCTCGTGAGTCCCTGGGCTCCCAGTCTAGGGTTGCAGCCCTTCAGAGTGGTTAAATGCAGTTGGAAGGTTGGTAACTGTGCAGCTTTATTCTGCACAGTTCAGCCTTGATGAAGGTAAGGTCCTGCTATGGAGGAGAGCCCTTATGTAAGGGGGGAAAAGGAAGGAAGGAGCAGTTAATCATGCTGTTATTTTTAAGTGTCAATTTTCTCTCCAGTTCATGTGTGTACTTGTGCTACAAGTGCATTGATATTGTTCTTTTTTAGAACAAAAATCATGCTCCTTTATTCTCAGGCTGTATTTGCAGATGTGTAGTACCCACTGGTTTGTTCAGCTTTCCAGAGTTAGTCACCTACAGCAGTGAGATTCCTTTTCAGTTATTATTAATAATAGCATGGAGATACAGTTGTAGTGGTTTGTTCAAGAGGGATGCCCAGTGCTTGCATGGTGAAAGAGCTTCCTGTATAGATTTTTAAGCCAGTTAAATAACTGACTGATAGTGGGAGGTGGAGGTGATAACTAAGGTTTTAATATTGAAGAAACAATTAGCATTTGTTGAGAATCACACCCTCAGCACCCTTAACAATGAGGAGTGTTCAAATTCTGTAGCATCCAGAGCAAAAGCCCTTAATGTGAATATAACCTCAAAACAGTCCATGCTCACCAGTTTATAACCTACCATGTTAGCAGTTGGATGCTATTTAACCTGAAATTACTCTAAAATTAACTCAACTTATTTTTTTGTTATATTTTGTTGTTCCAAGCACACAACAAGATTTGAGGCTGGGGGAGTGACACAACTTCCAGTCACTCCCAACAGTAGGCTTCCTGTTCTCTTTGCCATTCTTGGCATTCATCAGCATCCTGGTTCTGCTGGTTAGGAAATGTGAACTCCTCCACTTGTGCTGGTCTCCACTGAGCGAGAGATGATGATGATGTGGCTTTCTACTGCTGTGTCTATTTATAAGGCTGGGACTTAAACTTCAGCACTGTGATGACTTGTGTGTGGCTAGAAACGTATCTGTGAGGATCTTGTTAGGTGTGGAGTTGAAGCTTAAAATACACTAATATTCTAGTATTTTACTAGAAAATTGGAGTGTTTTGGAGGCTTTTTTTAGCATCAGGGAAAGTAATTGAGCAAATGAGTTATCATTTATATTTCAGCTATCTTTTTAGGACTCTGACTCACGAGTCCTTTATGATTCATATGAGGATGATTTAAGACGTAGTACCTTGCTCTGCTGCTAAAGGTTGTTCTTCCCATGACTCAGGCAGTGTAACGGGCAGCGTATCCTCTCAGCCTCCACAGTTCATGACCTAGGGTATTAGCTTAAACTGCCATTGATTTCAGTTTACATTAGTGCTCTGGGATTTGAGCTCTGGTGACTGCTGACACACCACCTGCTCTACCATCTTTGTTGTCTTGGTATAGCCTCTAGCAGAGGTGATGGCCAAGTGTCTGGGGTGGGTAACCTTGTCATACTTAGATGGGGCAAGTGACAGGGGTTGTGATTTAGATGTTAAATGAGATGGGGGGGAGGTATTTCCCCCTGGGGAAGGGGACACAGGCCTTGCACAGAACTGGAAAAGCTTGTACCTGTAATCTCTTCTTCCCCTAGTGACAGTAATAGTTTGTATTTTAATCCAGATTAGAATTGTAGGTCTCCTTGGCTTTCCCTGCCCAGCTTTTCCTTCCAAGTGGCATTTTATAGTTAGTTTCAGCACTTAAAAAAACCCTACCAAAACCCAAATGCCCAAAAACCAAACAAAATCCCTCTCCCAAACCCCAAACAACTCCTTCCCCAACTTTCCAAATGCTTGAATTCTCTTTTTTTCTCTTTCAAACTGTAGTTAAGCTGATTGTAATAATCTTTTACTGTTGTTTTCCTTTTGTAGGAGGAGGTAGAGAGCTGAAGGGAATAACTTCCTTGAAACCGGTAAGTACTCCTTGCCAGGGCTAAGGAGGTTTACCTAAGAACAGATGATAGGAAGAGCTGGCCTCCATTCCTGGAAAAGTTTGATGTTTACAGAAACTGAAATCCTATCTGTTCTTGTATTCAGAAAATGAAACTTAAGAAGTAAATGTTACTGATGGAAACCCCAGTCCTATGAATAAAATCAGTGCAGGGCTGAGATTTGGGCCCAAGGGTCTGTAAGTACCGAGGATATTTAAATTCATCTACTAAAAAATAATAACCTTAAATATATATTTTTCCCTGTGTAGTACCAGATTTATTTGAAGGGATTTTTGGTGCAGAAAGAGTTCTGTCTAAAATTCAAAGTTAATCAGTCTTTCCATGCACAGAGAAGGCATTCAAGGCTTTTGTGTGGTTGTTTTGTTTTTTTTCTATCTGTACACCTTGTCATCATCTGTATTTCTAGTGTAGTTTCCAAAATAGCTGTAGTTTAAATACTGTTGTAATGTTTTAGAGGTTCTGATGTGGATTGTATTTGAGATGATAATAGAGAAGTGTTAATGCACTTAAGTGATTATTGTAGATTTGAAGGTTTGATTCAGTCTCTGAAGAGCTATATATATATATATAAAAAACATAAATACCTACTATCTTAACTGCAGTGCATTGGTATACTTATCTGAGTATGAAATTTTAAGTCCTGAAGCAACTACATAAGATACAAGAGATTATTTATAACAAATGAGTGCTAGCAAGAAACTGAATGAAGGGCTGCTGCCTCCAGTAGTTCAAATCAATCCAAGTTGAAATCGGTCAATCCAAGGAATGGCAAATTTACCTCTTGCTCTCAGTGTTCTTTCTGGAAGTATGTCTGGGTGTGCAAGGGATGCAGGTACTCCACAGTCCTCTGCTTTCCTCTTGGAAATAGATGATTCAAGCATCAAACAAGGCATTTGCATGTTTTCCTTTAAAAACGAGTGGGATGAAGGACGTTTGCAGACCAACCCATCCATGCAATTTCAGTCATCTACAGGCTTTTTAACTGAACTATTTCCACTGTCATAAGAATAAAGTGGAAAATGCAGTATGTTTTATAATTAATCTAGAGATGACTTTATACATTTTTGCATGTGGTATTCTAGGTAGTTTATAATGTCACAGGACTTAAGTTTTTAAATCTTTTCTTGAAGTCTGAAAGAATAAATGTTCAAAATACAGAAGAATTTTGCACTCACACCATCTATGTGACTCCTGGCTTATGTAGTTACGTACCTCCTTTCAAAGGGAATACTAGCAAGATTTATTGTTATATAATCACAATATATAATCAGCTGCCCTCACAGATATATCTAGACATTACATAAACCAGAAAGATACAGCCTAGGATTTGTTGGAGGTAAGGAACGATCACGTTCGATAAGTGTTTAAAGTACTTCAGGGGAATTTTTGCACATGGATAAAGTTGGAGAGTTATTCCTCAGGAAGGAAAGCTGCAAGTGCATGTTCCAGAGTGTTTTAGTTCTAGAACAGTACAGTCAAGTAACAACTTTATATGTTTCATGTCCAGAAATCAGCAACTTCAACAAAGTTTTAAATGAATTATGGTTGTTCGTGTCTTCACCCCTGTGAACACGGCTGGGCTGAGCATCCACTTCCTTCTGCAAAGCACTACCACTTTTTTCTTAAATCTCTTAAAAACTGGTTTTTAGGAAGGAAAGAAAAAGCCTTTCTAGCTGTTCCAGGTATCTGTGAAATCAGGTTGGATTAGTTTTTATGAACCTTTAATACTACAAATCCTGTCGGTCAAAATAAGTTGTGCATTAATCGTAGTTGCTTGATCTTTTACAGAAGTACCATGTCATTTTTCCCATGAACTAGTAGTGAGCTTTACAGTCACGTGTTAAAATTACAGATACTGTTTGCATTCCCAGTTGAGAGGACTCTCTTCTGCTGTTTTGCGCTAAACTGTAAAGTTACATAGTTACAGAGTGGTACTAGCTATTCATCACAAGTTATTCTCATTTGTTGAAGACACCGGACGTATCTGTATCTTTACCCAAACCCTGAATTTCCAAGGCTTCTAAAAGGCTTTTTCCCTCTGGAGTGGGTTCAGTTTCCATTATCCAGCCTCCCACGTGTCTTTTTGAAGCATGGTTTCTTTCAAAACTGCAGTGCTAGGGGTCCTAATGCAGGCTATAGTTGTTCTTGTCAGTGAGTGGAAGTAATAATCCAGGATTCTGTTTTCTCATTAGTGTTTGTGGTAATAGAGCAGGGAACTATATGTAATTTCCATGTATCCCTTGATACAAATTGCAATTTTATAGAGAGTAGTGCTGCAACGGCAGCTGGTTTTGCTCATCTGTGTCACATGTGGGAGAGGCCCTCGCAGAAGGTCATTTCATGTGTTGACTAGAGAATCTGATCGAGCCTTTGTTATTTAAATAAGTAACTTTAACAGCAGACACCACTGACAGAGAATGAGTTTAAATATAATGCTTTTTAAGCCCCTTTGTAGTCCTCTCTTTTTGTAACATATTTCAGTTTGGAAAGAGAAACAACTAAGTTAAATAAGCGAATACCCCCTCCTGTTCTACCCCCCTTTCATTTTCAGAAGTTCACCAACTTGTCCAGCACTTCAGTTTACTGTAGTGAGACAACGTTAAAAGTCTTTAATTTATGACAATTATTCTCCTTTTACAGCCTACATGTCCAATCTAAACTGTCAATATCCTTTTGAAAGCAATGAAGTCCCGTTAAGAAAGCCTCCGAGTTGGCTACAATACCTGTGCAATAATTGTGAGCAATTTTCAAAAACTAAAAGAATAGGAACTATTTTAACACTTCAGCAATCCTTTAATGGATGGTATCTGGATGGAAAAGTGCCTGCAAAGATTGCTATAGTATGTTTTCTGATGGCTTTTATGTGTATGTATTTATAGATGTTTTTACACCGGTTCCATTGTGATGTGTGAGCATATGGGAGTCTTAATCCTGTTTCAGAAGCTGATACATTTAACGTATTATGAGCAAAAATCTCTTGTCCAACTTCCAAGGCTTTTAGAAGTATGGCTGATAAAGCTTTTGTATGTCAGAGGTTGGAGGGATTAATTTGTTTGTAGTACAAATGAGGATGGTAAACTCGTACTCACATTCTACAAGTAGAATTCCGGGATTAAAAAGACTTAAAAATTAATGGTTTTGAAAAAGTCTTCTGCTGCTTTATATCAATCTTGTGTTCCTTCAAAATAGGTTTCAACAGAAGTGACTAACTCAGCACTACCTTTGAGCAGTGGGTTATTAATATACTAACATTGTTCAGTCAAATTGCATGCATGCCATCCCATCTAAGAACAGCTCTGTAGTATCATGGAAGTATGCTAATGCAGTACGTTCTGTTTAACAATTCGTTGCTGTTGGGGTTGCAGAATTTTTGTCTCCAGAATATTTTTCTCATCTACCCAGATTTTTAAAATCTTCTCGGTAGTTAATTTTTTTCTGATTTAATATGCAACTGCGGTAGGATATTGGTAGGAAATAGCTGCCTGCAAACTAAGATAAGGGACAAGTATGTCAACTTTGCGATATGTGAGAAGTAACAAATTTGGCTAAATGACTCCAAGGTAGGCGTTTCGTACAGCCTGTAGAGTTCTTGTGTTGGAAAGATTGTTTGTGTTTAGGCTAGAAAGCTGCAGTTGCACATAGTTTGCTACTGAATTCTTGCTCTTTTACCTCCTTTTTGACTTCTGCCCTTCACTAACCAAAAGAAAACCTTATATTTTTCTACAGCACTGGTGTTAAAGAGGAAACCACAAACTAAAGGCACTGGAATCAGCAAAGACACTTTTAGAGAAAGTGGAGAAGGTAGAGAATGGAGCTGCAGACTCTACAGGAGGCTCTGAAAGTGGAAATTCAGGTTCACCAGGTAATTCGTATTCTTTCTTGCTTTCGACTTTAAACTTAAAGCAGCATCAGTATTGCCGATAGAATTACTATTAATGGTAGCATTAAGTAATAGCACTACAACTATAGTAATAATTGTTTTATAAGCATGAAGCTACTTTAGGATTTTATACTCTGCATTTTGACCCCAGCACCTGCTGAGTTTTAGCGAATGTGAAATATCTCCGTATTGGGCTGTGGGTGGGCATTTCTTTTTCCTTTTAATACTTTGCTCCAGTGATAAAAACATTCTGAAAACTCCATATTCAGCAGTTTCTGTCTGGAAGTTTCTTCAGCATTCAGTTGGCAGCAGAAGAATATGGTAGAGGAACTTTGAAGTGAAATAGCATAGTGCTGCATAGTCTCACCTGGTGCTTCTCCTCTGGAGTGTCTTCTACTTTAGTACCTTCTAAACTTGCAGTTGTGTTGTTCTGCTAACCAAAATGTAGTGCTTGGCCTCAAATTTTTACTTTTTGGGTATTTTTACTAGCAGCTAGTCCAATACTATATGGCAATAGAGCTGCAGTTTGCCATTCTTTTACAGTATGAGAAATACTACTACTACTAAAGCATAATTTATCAAACATAAAAGAGGGTTTGGAAATCTCTCTTACCTTTAAGATGATCTTAAGGTCCTTTCCAACCTAAACCATTCTATGATTATATGACATATGCTTATTAATTCCTGGAACAAAACTCCTCCAGCCATAAATGCAGAGTAGCTGCCAGCTTGTAATGTTAAATTTATATACGAGACCTTTTCCAAAGACAGTTATCCGGGTGTTTCTGTTGGATACCTGAAGCTCACAACTGTTACACAGTGGCTAAAAGAAATACATGCTAGGTTATGCTGATTGGTGTAACCTATCATATAACAGTTGCAAAATATTTCCAAATTACCTGGTGACTTGTCTAAACAAGTGTTCTAGATGGCTCGTTTAGTAGTTGCTGCAATGATGAACATAGTGCAGGAACTTGAATGGGCAGATTAGGAAACTGAAGCCATGTATACTTTAACAAAATATAACTTTCAGATGGGGAGGAAAACTTGAAAAAGCTAAAGATAAATTTACAGAACTACGAAGTATTTTGCTCTTACCAAACTCCAAGGCCTTTGCATTCAAAGCTTCAATGAAGTTAGGTAGGTAAGGAAATTCAAAGATTGCCTGGGGCATTTTGCTGCAGGCATTAAAATGTTTAAGGCCAGTCAGTGTTTTTTTCCAAGTCTTATCTGCTGTATGGGGATCAAAACGTTAGTCATACATAGGTTTGTAGAACAGAATCTGCCTCGTGTGTATCTTCATTTGCCTTTTTGCTTAACAAAAAACTTTTAGACTGTGAGTTTTCAGTAATCTTTAGCATCTGTTCATGATGATGATGACAAACAGGGATGAAGACTGGAAAATGTCCAAAAGGACTTTCTAGTTTTTTTTTAACAACTTCAAAGTTGTTTGACCCTGTTTGTCTTAGCTTTGCCCAGTCCTCATTAAAAGTGAGCTCTGCCATGAGACCAACTCTAATTAAATTTAGATCTAGTTGCTGAAACTAGACAAGTCATTACAGCAGAAGGCTGGCTTTTTTCTTCATGATACTGTATGTTCCAGTAATCAGGGCTAAGAAGAAGTCTAAATGTTTACAGTGGAAAATAACACTTGCAGCAACATGTTGGGTGCTTCAGTAAACTTCTCTTGAACTGTGCTGGAGTGGTTACTACTCTGCTTGTCAAATGGCCACTGACAGAAATGGAACTGGTTTTATACACGCGCGCACACACACACACACACACGCACAAAGAAATCTTCCCATTAAATGCTTGAGCTATATTGTATATCTTTGGATTTTGTAATTTAGAGATACAGTATAGAATCGTAGAATAGTTAGGGTTGGAAAGGACCTTAAGATCATCTAGTTCCACTCTTGACATTGCTCAGGATTGTGGAGAATTGTCTTACTTATATTTTACTTATCTAGTGTTTCTTTTTCTGAAGACTCTTCAAAAAAGCTTGCCAACTCTCATACAGCCATAGTTTGCCATCCCCTTGTAAGTGGCGGATGAGTGTCTGTGATGAGCATACAAAGTTCAGCTCTGTGCTGTGAGCAAAGCCTCCCAGCTTCCTGATGCAGCGTGTTACCTGTGACTGCTCACATAGGTGTGAAAAGGGTGCTCAGTATGACTGTATTTTTATTTGTAGAATAGCTCCTTGATTCCTGCCTATTCCAGTTCACCTCCAGAACTCTGCCTGAAGCTTTATACTGCTACTTTGGCAAAGTGTATCTTAAAATACCCAAAGGAGGTGTTGAGCTGTTCAGAAAAAGCTCATTTTTTTGCTTCATTTTAATGATCAAAGAATCCTCCATAGGTGAAGTCTGACCAGGTCACTTGCTGTATCAGAGCACAGTTTGAATATTCAGGTGTTTTCCATGCCAAAGCTGTTGCTTATCCTGAGAAGCCAGGACAAGGAGTCAATTCTGCTACTGTGCTGGCTTAATGAATGTTATTTTGAAACCGTTTGCTCTTCACAGCTTTGATCACAAGAGGTGTTCAAGGAGTTGTATTTAGCTGTTCTCACAGAAGGGTTGGGTTTCATGGATGATTCTTTGAGCTGGTGTGTGGAGAAAACCCAAAACATCCTTTTGCTTTTCTGAAAATATCATTAGCTTTTAAAATACCTTAAATTTAGTTTGAGTTCAGGGGGCAGTGCAAAAGAGCATTTTATTTTTATTTGCTTATGGTTGGATGATGCGGTATTGTGTGATCCTTAGATTTAACAATATTTGATGAACAGTTTACAGTCACTGACTGTACTGTCTCATGGCTGAGTTTGTGCAAGCACTTTGTACAAAAACTAACAGATTTGTTGCTCTTCAAACTCTGATCTGGCAGAAAGCACCAAGGGAAAACAAGCTAAGCATGCAAGCAAAAGGGTAATATAACACCTTAGCTCTGTGACACTGAATGGCAGCATGATAAAACAATAATATTAAGTGTAGATAAATGCCAAGTGGTGCACTTTGGAAAAGCGGTCCTGGTTTTACATCTGCGGTAGCAGGCTGTGAAGTAGCTATTGGCGCTTGCAGTGTCAGAGTACTTCAATGTTGTAGTTTTAAACTTTGTCTCCAGATGATAGAGATAAATTAGAGAAGTGCAGGGAAGAGTGCTAAGAGTGAACCCAGCACTGGATTGATTCCTGCATGAGGAGACTTCCAGTGTGATGAGCAATGACTGATGGAATATGTGGTGTGGAAAAAAATGTAGGAGGAAGTTGAATAGAGAAACAGTCATAGATTCGTAGAATATCTTGATTTGGGAGAGACCCATAAGGGTCATTGAGTCTAACTTCTAACTCCTCTTGACTTGAGTCAAAGCTGGTTTTCCATAGTTCTGTTTGCCCTTGCACTTGCATTATCAGGAGCAGATTCAAAAGGAAAAGGAGGTCCTTTTACATAAGAGTCCTGTACTTTAACTTGAAACTTATTGTCACAGAATCTTGAGTATTTGCCTGAGTCCAAAAGTAATTAAGGCAGATTAATGGAAGAAGAAATGTGTTACTAGCTGTTAAACCTAAGACATAATCTTTAAAGACACCAGAGATATAGATTCCTTAAAGATGGGAAATAACACTCTGTGCTTGTCCAGCACAGGCATCATGCTGATGCGTCTGCTTGATAAGAAAATTTAGCAGGTAAACCTGTGGTCTGATGCAGAATTCTCTTTCTGTTACGCTTTTTATAGTTAAAACCATTTTTAGGATGTGAAATGAAATAAACTTTAATTAGTTGTCAAAGTCTGAGTTCTCTGAGTGGTATCAGTGCAGGTGGAATGAAACATGTTTCTCTTGCTTTGTCCTTCTGTTTCGCACTCCTTTTCTTGATTCTGAAGAGCAAATAGGGAAGAAAGTACAAACTTTACATGGTTCTTTGCATATGTGGAAAGGACGTAGCAATGTGATGAATAAATATGGCTGTAACCAAAAAAGAAACTGGCAATTTTCTGTTCACATTGCATTTTCATCCTGGGCCCTGGTTTTCTTTGGTGACAGCCTGGTAACTTTTTCCTTGCTTAGCAATAGACAGCTTTCTCCTGCAGCTGCCTGAATGAAGTGAAGGAGGAAGAATAGTGAATGGTAACCATCTGTCTGCTTTCCTTTGGATGTGGAGGGCATCTATGCTACAATGATCTCAATCTCTCTCTGAGGGAGAAAAGTGGCAAAGATACTTTGGAACATGGGTCTTCCATGTGGTACCAGCCAAGCCAACACATGGACGGACCCTTAGTACTTGAGACGTTCTGCTCTTGAATATACAAACAGCTTTTGTGCCTGCAGCAGTTATTTGTGATTTGTGTTTCTTGTGACTGCAAGCAAAGAAGGCAGCAGTTCTAGAGGAGACACAGCTATTAGATTATTTTACCCAGCTGGCTTAAATTGTCCTTAAAAGACATCACTTGTTCAAGAGCTGTTTGGGAAAAGCAGCAAAAGTGGTGGCTTAGTGCAGTAGTCTTACTATATTAATTAGGATGGGTTGGAAATGATGGATTCCAGGCCTTTTTGTTGAAATGGTGTAAACTGAATAGTTTGCTTTTACAAAAGTTCTTAAAAATGTTGAATTTTCAACTCTTAAACAAGATCCATAATGAAATTGTGTTGTTGCATCTTTTTTCTTTCTAGAAATTGGTTGCCCAAATGAAGCAAGATCCGCAGGTAACTATTGAGATTTATATTGCATTACTTAGCCTTAAAAATAAAGGAAGTAAAAATGCATGAAGCTTGAAAATTGTAGATATTTCTCAGTCATGTTCTACCTGCTATCACAGTGCTTAGAATGACTGCTGATAGTTTTAAACAAAACCAGTACTTTTAGCTTTATGGAGCCTTTTGACTCCTTCGTAGTTTAAATCATGTAACTCTTGCAGACTATGGTGCAGTTTAAACATGCAGTAGGCTTCTGATTCTATTGGAAGCTGCTCTTCATAAAATCTGCCAGCACTAGAATTTGCTTTCTTCATTTTTTTTGAGTATCAGAAGGTTGTACAAGAAGAGATAGGATATTCTGTCCAATGAATTTTGTCCAAATAGAGCATGTAGCTTAAGGCTGTGTTCAGATTGCCTGTTTTAGGTATCCAGCTTCAGCACTGTAGTGTCCAGAAAGTGGGCACTTGGAATTCAGATGCTTCTGAGCTACTGAAGCTAGATTATACATAGACAGCAGAATTCATCCCTTTCTCAGTGGCTGTGGAACAAGACTGGGTTGTCTTGCACAGCAGTTAAGCACTCCAGTGTGCTGAATGAATTCTGTGGAGTTCTCTAACCAGTTTGAAATGTTGAGTAGAGGGATAAAGGCAGCTCCCTTGAGGCTTGCTATGACATGTTTCCATCCCCATACAGTGCTGGATGTCATATAAGTTTTTAAGCATGTGTTTTTCTGAGCTCAGTGGAGTGCTTTTTATAACAGTCAAGTAGTTAGGCCCCTGACAGGGGGGGATGAACAGGGAGTGGTATTGGAAAATCTGCTTTGTAGAACTTCCTTATTCTGATGGCATCTGAGTAAGGTCTGCTACTTTTACTTGTTGGGAAAGTCTGCTAATGATAAACTTGCAGAGCAATTTGCTTTCAGTTCAGGAAGAGTAAATCTGGTCCCTGCTTCCAATGCTCATAATGCATTTTAATCCCCAATTATTAAGTGGAATCTAGAAGAAGGGAGGATAACTGGTCAGTATCTGGTTTTGCTGGAATTGTGTGTATATTGGAGAAGACTATCTACAAACTGAGACTGTAATGCATTTCAAAATTATATGGAGGAATATAAAAATAGGGAAGTTGTCCTGAGCATGAAGTTCCTTTAAGGATACTAATGACAGGAACTATGTTTTAGTATTTCTGTGCAGCACAGAAAACCTGCGTAATCTAGTGTAAAGAATTTACAACATAAATAAGAACAAGAATAGTGGGGGGAAAGAGGAGAAATCAGGGAATTTTGCTTCCCTGTCACGTTTCTGTGGAGTTTCACAGGCTTTAAAGTGAAGACAGATTTTTATATTTTAGCTTTAGTCAGAAACAGATAATCCTGCTAAAATAGTTTCCTGACTGCATCTTCATAGTGATGTTTATGGCTTTCATATCTTAAACTTAAGAATGTGCTATTGTAAGCAAAGCGCTGATATGAATGATGTGTTAATTCAAATGTAATTCTCTTAAATACAGTCTAAGGCATAAATGTACGTAGAAATAAAGAAATGTGTGTCTTCATTTGACACATATGTCAATTAAGATTTAATAGATAAGTTTGCTGCTGGTCTACACAGTCAAATGTATGATAATGTCTTTGTATAAGTAGCATAAGTGGTAATGCTTTAGGTAATACATCATAGCATGCTACTGTAAACAATATAATACTATTGTATTATATCTTTACAAATTAAATGAGAAATGTTTGTTAGCTTGATGAAATGTACAAATGTGCTTTATAATATGGTAAGCACTAATGGATGTTTTAATGAAATCTTCATTCCAAACTGAGTTGTTTCTGAGTGCTAGAAAAGTTCTCTGGTTATCGTTGCACTCAGTGTCTTAACCAAGGCTTTGTTGAGCCTCTTAAATCTTATTGGCTGTACCTGTACATCCAGAGGTGCTGTGTTTGTAGTGTACAAAACAAACTCAAACAAAAAAACAAACCACCTTCCTGCTACTACTCTCTGTTAACAAATGGAATATCTTTCTCACAGATATTTTTTCTTTCTAATCAGAACGCTGATTTGAAGAAACAGCTTCATGAACTTCAAGCCAAAATCACAGCTCTGAGTGAGAAACAGGTAGGGAAACAGAGATGGATTTTTAACACCTTGCCCCAAAGATTTCACTTTTCCCAGCTTCCAAGAGAGCTGCTAAATTTTTAAGTGCAAAAATAGGTATGAGCAGCCAGACGCTTCTGATTTGTATTTGATTTGAGTTATTACTACTCTATCAAACAAGCAACTAGAGTAATCAGTGGAAGCTATAGCAATTTCTCTTGTGTTGAAACTAATGTTTTATATTAAGGGAGCTGGGAAAATGAATGAATTTTGTCACTTGCTTTATTATTATCTTGAAACTTACTCTAAGCCAGACCGTTCTGGTTTAGGTAAAGTTGGTCCACACTGTCTGGATGAGGATGCTGGAATTTTTCTGTGTGTCTAGACAACTAAACTGATGTCAGTTATAGGTACATAATAGATGTTTGGAAATCCATGTGCTTTTACCATGATGAATTATACTACAATTGTCTTACATTTGCTATTTAGTAGGAATTCTCTTTGACAGTTCTAAAGTGTAAGTAATAATTACAACTGAATACTTAATAGAAAGATTGTGGAACTTGAAAATGTGTCTTGTGGGTAACTAGAAGGAAAATAAGTAACACAGACATCCACAAAACTGGTTCTGATGTTTTTAAAATAACAAAAATGCCCTCCAAAACTAAACTCACTTGAGGAGTCAGTTGTATTGCTATTATGTCAGTAATAGAACCAATAGGTTAATAGATAACACCTTTGAGGAGGGGAAAGAACATGTGCATAGGTAAGAATAGAGTTATGCATCAGTGTCATGTGTAGATATCTGCATTCATCTGTTGTTATCTGCATGTGTTCTGAGAATTACCTTTCCAAAGGAAATGGGCAGACAGTGATTAACGTTTATCTACAAATTGTTTGCTAAACAATTACAGTGTGTTTTAGTAGTGGAACAGTAAGTGTAGGAAGGCACACGTAAGGATAATAAAGAAAATGATTTTTTAATGAGAATACTAATTCAGTAAAAATGGAGGTTTTGCTGATGTGGTGGCATGCCTCTCTTGAAGATGATTTATTCTCTAAAACCAGCATGAGGCTCTGCATGTGGCTGTGTCTCACAGCAAGCGGCTTCAGAAATCTCTGATAAGCTCTGGAGGCCCATGGTAATTTCAGAGTTAGCTTGCCTTGATGCCACAAAGCAAATCATATTGACTGTGAGTTCACATGATCAGCAGGGACGGTGAGATGGGAAGGTAAGAAATGAGTGTGTCTTACTGTAACTTTTAAACTTGGATTCATAACTCTTGAAGGTTATGTTAGTGCATAATAACAATTATTGTCAATTATCCATCACCAGAAGTGCAACTCTGTCTTTTCTGCTGAAAATTACAGCTCAGTGAACTAAAGCACACTCGTTCATGGCAGGAACATGGGATGTTTCCAGAAGACTTTGAAAAACAAGTTTTTGACTTCACTTCTACCACACAGAAAATACAGTCAATACAGTCACAGTCCAGCTTCCTTCATTATACATTTATGGTTTTGATTATCAGTAGAACAGTGAACTTCTCTGTTGATGTTTAAGTATCTTGTTATATCTACCACTGGACCACAGAGCTGCCCGTGTCCCAGATGAAAGCGGTATTAATGAAGTACGGGTGCTAAAATGCATTGGTCGTGGCAAATGTGAGTTCTAGAAAAAAGCCCTACAACTTCCCAATGCAGAGAAGTGCTCACTGCCTCTTATTTTTAGGTCTCTGTGGTACAGACATCTGTGGCTTAGCAGTGCAGAGCTGAGCAGCATCTTGGAGATTACAGCAAAGCCCCTTTTTTCTCATCTCACTTTAATTTCTCTTTAGGAAAAATAATGATTATCAATTGTTTTATGGGGAGAATATTATCCAACAACTTAATTTGCACACAGCATGGAGAAACGTGTGGTTTTGCATAGTAAATAAATGCTTTACATCGTGCAGTGCATTTCTGAGGAGGAAGAGTGCAAAATGTGTTATCTCTGCTCTTGTTTAGAGCCAAGTAAGTAGTCTTGATATCAGGCATCCAAGAAATAAACTCTGAGGGCCCAACTCCACTCTGGACAGTGACAGGAGGCATGAGTGTCACTGTTTGATTAGTTTTTCACACTTCATTAAAAGCTCAAGTTCCAGCCTGTGTGGTTGTCCCTACTCCTTGACAGTGTTGTAGAGCTAATATCCTGATGTTGAGAGGCAGAATACCGCAGTATTTCTGGCTCCTGCAATATTATGTCAGTCTAATGAACTCTTTTTCTTTGCTCTCTTATTTAGTGAAGTTGCATGAAGACTTGTGCAAGAACTGAGCCAGTGGTAGGTTAGCTAAAAGCTTTTAGCTGCTTTAGGACTTCTCTCCATTTCTGAAGCATTGTGAGAGTAGCACAGACACTTGCTGCCAGTCGCTGCAGTGATTCAGTGTGGCTTAGGTTTCTTGCTGAGAATTAATAATGGCAGCTCTGTTTGGAAGTTTGTGAAATTGAAGAGATCTGGCAAAGGACAAAAGGAAAGCAAGTAGGCTGTGCAGTGTGTAGGCTTAAACCTAAAGGAATTCATTAGCTGATGCAGGGTTCAACTCCTATAGTAGAAGGTATGTCGTGTATTCATATGCTTTTTGAAAATGTGAAAGAGGTGAAAATAAATGCTTTGATTTGTTTCACCTGAGAGCTGATGGAGCAGTGTATGCTGGTTGTGATAGCTTATGGAAGAAAAACTACAAAAAAGAGGAAAAACCTGAAGATAACTTGCATTTAAAGGCAAGTAAACATGAATCCTTCAGACAGTAATTTTCCTCTGTTCGTCTCTTTGTTATTACTGTGGAGTTCTAAACTGTGCTTACCTTATTTTACTAATCTGAGGGCAATAAGGTGATGTCAGTTTAACAATCTCGTTCCTATAAATGTGAGTGCTGCAGTCTGGGAACCTGAACGCAGGGGTTTTTAAACTGGTTTCCTCTTTCTTCCCCCACCCTGCTCTCCATTAAAGAGAAGTCAAAAGTCACTGTCTGCAAACAGTTTTAATTGCCAAATTGAAGCTTGGGTTGTAAATATGAATTAATTCTTTTGCTGTGCGGCAGTTTTATTATGTTTTCATGTTTCTTTGTAAGAAAGCCAGAGCGTTAGGAGTCAGCACACTTTCTTTCACTTTGTATTCTATGAGAGTGTCTTCCTTTGGTATTCTGTCTTGTAGGCTTTTATAATGACCTGTCACTACTCCTCTTTTGTCTGGGTTAAATATGTTCACATAAAGAATTGTATTCTTGAATTTTTCCATGAGGAAGTTTACCAGTGTGCACTCTTTTTGCTTTGGGGAGGTGGAGTGGAAGTTACGTGACAGCAGGGAAAGACTGAGGTAGAGCAGGGCTAATGTAAAAGAGCAGGAGAGATGTGATCTTGAAGTAACACCTTTTTTTCTACTTCTTCCCATACATAGCTAATTAAAAAGTTACCATAGGATCTTGGTGTATGATATGTCATCATTGAGTATGTATCGTAACAGTACTCTTTTCCAGTGACAAGGAAGAAGTCATGTTTATTTGACTAAAGCAATGTAAAGAAAGAAGTGGGCCGCAAACAAATACATTTTAGCAGTATCACGGCAAATGCAGAGAAATTTCTACATCTGTTCTTCTCCCCATTTCTTGGAAAAGTCGGAGCAACATTGTACCTTAAATGTGGCAGACAGCTTCCAGGGGTAGTCTTTTGACCTTATGGTAAAGATGTGATAAGCATATCCTAACGTAATAGCCTGGCTCTTTCCCTTGTGTTTGAAAGGAAAATAAAAGGTCTCTTAGTGTAGTTGCAGAGAAATTCATTGCATCTTCAAGAAAACAGTCTTGTGAAATCTAGACTAGTATTCGAATGCATTTGCTCTTGACGTGGAAAGAATAAAGTGGATCCCTTTGTTATTCTGATTTCTGAAGAGCCATATAGACTTGTGTGGAAAAGTACTCAGTTGATAGCATAGGGATACTTGTGTGTTTATTTTTCAGAGGGGAAAAAGTTTAACATACTTCACTGTGAAGAGTAGTTGAAGCTGCAGAATAAAATGGGAAAAAAGCACACTATAAAAGTGAGCTTCTCTCTTTCATTATGAATAGGCAAATCTAGTGAATTAGAATCATAGAATAGTTAGGGTTGGAAAGGACCTTAAGATCATCCAGTTCCAAACCCCCTGCCATGGGTAGGGACACCTCACACTAAACCATGTCACCCAAGTCTCTGTCCAACCTGGCCTTGAACACCGCCAGGGATGGAGCATTCACAGCTTCCCTGGGCAACCCATTCCAGTGCCTCACCACTCTCACAGTAAAGAACTTCCTCCTTATATCCAACCTAAACTTCCCCTGTTTAAGTTTTAACCCATTACCCCTTGTCCTATCACTACAGTCCCTAATGAAGAGTCCCTCCCCAGCATCCCTATAGGCCCCCTTCAGATACTGGAAGGCTGCTATGAGGTCTCCACGCAGCCTTCTCTTCTCCAGCTGGACAGCCCCAACTTTCTCAGCCTGTCTTCATACAGGAGGTGCTCCAGTCCCCTGATCATCCTCGTGGCCTCCTCTGGACTTATTCCAACAGTTCCATGTCTTCTTTGTGTTGAGGACACCAGAACTGCACACACTGCTGCAGGTGAGGTCTCACGAGAGCAGAGTAGAGGGGCAGGATCAGCTCCTTCAAATTCTGCTTCTATTTAAAGCTTACAGCAAATGGAGGTAGTTGAGGTTATTTTAAATCCTGTGTGTTCAGGGTGAGACTCCTTTTAACCTTGCCACTAAATACATAAGTAATGGCATAGGGAGTTTGGGGGTGATTTTAAGAGTGGTAGTGTAACTTAACCATAGTTTTATGTAGTTGAATAAATGTAAACACGTGGTTTAGACTGACAAAGGAAACTTGTTATTTAAGTCTTCAAAAGATGTCAGGAATAGATTTAAGCATTAATGTTGCTATATTTATTACAGGTACCATAACTGGGTAATGAAAAGATTGGTAATGTGCATAAATTCATCCTGGGAGA